ATTTAAAAGCGACCCGGCCACAAAGGTTCGCTCAACACACTGGCTTATTGTGTGGGAATTTATAGCAGCCAAATTCTTTTAACGCATGTTTCTAAATATGGACGGAAAAATCCGGAGGACCCAGAGAAAAGCTCACACGACCATGGTGAGAATTTGCAAATTCCAAATATACAGAGGCATCAGGGTCAGAATCGACCCCACAATCTCCAGCATATAAGGCGAGGGAGTTAACATCTCACCACTGCGGCGCATGCATGGGTTGGGAGGGCCCAGTCATGAAGACTTCGTGTTATGGGATGACAAACTAAGGCAATTTGGTTATGCGTGAGAGTGAAGGTGTTGGCATAGGTCTTGGCAGCTGTTACATCAACATGGATGTATGTCTTCACCTTGCAGCGAATGATGAGAGTAGCATAACGTAGCAGTAAAAAAAACCTTTTACATGACATATATTAAATATAGAACGGTGCATGAATTAATTATTGTAATTGATTCTTATACTTTTGGCACACGCATCGATCATGCGCGTGAGAATCGATTGATGGAAGAAAATGAAATGCAAATGATATGCTCACGTTACAATTAGGGGTCACGTAGCGAATACAATTATACAACTGATGGATACAACTTAGAAGCAATACTGTTCAGACAATAACATCCAGACAAGAGAAAAACATTTATTTAATCATATAACAACATATTTGTGACAATTGATAAAACATTTTGAGGGGTAAATTGTTATATATCAAAATCATCATCATCATAATGATCTATCCACTTGTGGATGAAGGCTTCCCCGTTATTATCCCGTCCCTCGCAGTCTTCCGATGAACATGAGCCGATCTCTTCATTCCAACTCCGAGGAGGCCGTACTCTCGGGCGTCTTCATTCCTTTGGTTACCATTCGATCACCAGTATCGTCCGTTGGCAATCATTTCCTCCTGCCCATGAGGTGTCCACTTACTTTCCTTAACAGTCAACACGGAGTGTTTTAATTTGCATTCGTTCTCTGATCCATGCGTTTCCCTCTCCCTGGATCTCAGGATAATTCACAACATGCATCTCCCCATGCTTTTTTTTGCATAGCTTTCAACCTTTGTACCATTTCTTGCCAGTGCCCATGTTTCTGATCTTTATGTAAAAGTAGGTAAAGTGCCACGTTTGAACATTTCAATCTGTGTTCAAGCACATAGTTGTGTTGCTTTTCTTGATCAAATTCAGCTTTCCAAAGGCACTGCACCCTGATCTTGTTTGCCTCTTTATTTAATTATTTGTATTCCAATCTGATTTCAACAGTCTTTCCAGGTGTACATGTGTTCTGCTGTGCTTTTCCAGTGGCGTACATGCAACAATTGTTTCCTTGTGTTTGGAGAACTTTCTGCAAGTAACTTTTGTTTGGTTCATACCCATCTTAAGCCTGATAGTGCAGCCTCTGGATCCTGATATCGTTAAGTTATTCAGTCATTCCCTGTAATTAATTTATATTGGTTGTTATAATGACCATGCCATCGGCGTATCTGAGGTGATTAATACCCTCTCCCATTGAAGTGTATGCGTTACAATTTTAGTAAAACGTCTTACAGTGTTGGTGAGGATGTATCTCCTTGCCTGACTCCTCATCTGATTTGCATTTTGTTACTTTTTACACGCAATCTTAGTGCAGCCATCCACAATTGAGCGATTGCCTTTCTGTTTAAACACAGAGGGAATAAGTCCGCTAATTGTGTTACATCTGGTCCCACTTTATAAACGATTACCACAGTTAATCATTCTATATAGTGCGGGAGCATTCCCTCTTCTGATCCTACAGAGGGCATTGGTTAATTTTCCAAAGTGTACCATCTGCAATTTCTTCTTCTTTGAAAAAAAAGATTGATTTGGTGCATATATGATTCTTTTGTAGACAGATCTGCAAGGAATTGACTACAGTACTAGCTTTACAATTATATCGCTATCATGGCCGATGGACAAGAATGGTGTCAGAATAGCAGCCAAAGAAGGAAACATATCCAGGAGAGAACATCCCCAATATGGAGATGATAGAGAGATACGATCAGTTCATGTGCAAGAGCGAGATGGATTGTGGTATTGCAGCGCTGCACCTAATGGCGTAGGTGCTTTCACCCAGCAGTAGCTAGAGCATGGCTCATGTTGATGAACGTTTAATGAAGTTCGTTAAGAATATCACTGCATTACAGTGCAGGCATTAACCACCACCACCACCAGAGCTGCCTCATACATATGGATGGGAAATACAAAACGTACATTGAATGAGACTATACAAACCTTGTATTAATGTAACAGCTGATGAAACACAAAATACCATAAAAAAATGAGAGCACTATATCTTCATAATTAAACGTATAACTGGAGGAAAAGCGTTGTCCAAATATTTTGAAGTTCACGGCTTGGTAGCAAGGGGGTGCTGTGTTGTCATGGTTGCGCTTCCATGTATTTGCTCGCTCTAATGACAGGATGTACTCTACTCGGTGGTAATTGCTCTCTACAATATGTGCGGGGGTTGTTTTCAAGAGTCGCGGACATACATTGGAAGCAAATGGCAGGAAAGTCTGCCATCAAGGGATCGAGTGAAAAAAAGAGTACAGTGCTGTAATGGTCGCCTTTTAAATTATGTTTGTAAAAATGAATTACAACTTATTTTGGTAGGCAATTGATGTCATTGTGTATTTCAAAGCTCACTATTGGGTTTTAAAGATTACACACCACCTATATATTACACATGTAGGTTGTATCTCAAAGTAAAATAGCACCATTTTATACGTGGAAAAGTAATTCCATGTGTTCTTGGAGTTGCAAGACAAAAGTCCCATTTGATGGAATGGTTTCATACATTAGAGTATTACGATCAATGCTGGCTGGATATTGGCGAAAGCAAGTTGAGTGATTTGTGTAAATATAAAAAAATATATATCCATGATTGTACGTGAACAATTTGAACATATTGTTGTTTGAAGGGTATCACAGGCTTGAATAAAGAGACATGTCCAGCAGGTAATGCTTCACAGCAGTGGTTAGCTTCATTCTTATGTCAATGCGTTTATGCTCAGTGGCATGAAATTAGTTCCATATATGGTAAAAAAGGGGTTTATAATTAAATGTTGCATCACCATGGTTTGGATAAATACGATTATGTACTTGAGTCTATTGCATGAATATCTATTTTAATGGAATACTTGACACCTTAAAAAGTACATTTTGTGTTGCTGCTGTTTTCAGTGATTTAGAGTACAAAATATTCCCATGCCTTGCTTAATGGGAAACTGAAATACCGTATCAATCAGAGATATGGCCTTGCCAAGGCAGCAGCGTCTGCAGAGGTACAAAAAAAAACAGTCTGTGCAAGCAGCAAAGGTGAAGGAGATTCCAGTGTATGGTTTACAGTACACAGGAAGGGAGCTTCTTTCCTCCGTGCAATCTGAAAAAAAACATTCCCTAAAATGGTGTGGCACTGCGAGGCACTGGTGGCTAAAGCTCGCCTTTTCTGGCTATGACTTGGCACTGGCGTAAAAAAAATTCCGAGCCAGCTGAAATATGAAATGTTTGAAAGAGACTGGAAAGTTTTTCTACTTGCTTTAAAAGGACACAAATTCAATGCATTGACAAGAGTGCATGGTGACCTTATCTGTCTGCTCAACACCCCTGAGTTTAAATAACTGCAGGAAAACTGCGTCTTCTTTTTGTTCCTATATTAAAACCATTAGGCCATTAGCGCCCTGACTTTTTCTCAGTGTGACGCGGCTACACTGCTCAATGGCAGTTTGATTTTTGTTTTACCGTGAATTGCGTTGAAAATGACACAAAAGTGTACACCTTTCACATTCTTTGGAAAAAAATGAAATGGGCATAGAAAAAAGATACATATTTTCTAATCCAAAGTAGTGTGTGCATTATTGATATGATATCTAAACATAATTAATCTTGGGTTTATCAATGGTAATATTTGTTTCAATAACGTTCAGTGGATGGCAGAAATGCAGTGGGGCAGGGAGTGATGTGGCTACAAAATACGAAGGTCGACGTACATCAGCGATGCGCTGCACCAACAATGGCGGTGACCACATGAGTTGTCGCTAACAAACACGGTCCTTTTGTCACGAGGGTCAAATGTGAGATCCATCAAAGAGCATTATTGCTGCTGATATTATATTGCCTGTTTCCACCCCAGTCACGCATTGGGATCCAAGGATGGAATGCGCATTATAAATTTGAATAAATTATATCATGTGCAAATAAAAAGTTATTCATTAGATTGTATATTGTTACCGACCAATGCATCTTAAGAAAGTGTCGTGCCAGCAGTGACATGGATCAGAAATGTGGAAACTTGCAAAGGCATTGGAAGAAAGGCTGAGACGTACACAAAGAATCATGGCGAGAAGCATGCTAGATTGCATGCTAAATTGAAAATAATTTCTTTAGAACTCTTTTTTTATGTGTTTAGTTTGTTCTCCTTCCCGCACATCTCTGATTAGCATGGTTGGCAACGTACGGTGCGAAAGAAGTGCAACATACATACTTGGAATCGCACTGAGAAACTGAAAGAGGGACACATGAATCAGGGAATAAGCACCAATTCTAGAATTCATATTGAGAGTGAAAAAAAAGAAATGGGTTTGGGCAAGGCACATCGCTAGATGGGATGAAGGCCGATGGACGAGACTGGTGATTGACTGGCTGCTGAAGGAAAGAACGTGTCGGAGATGGAGGGATGACATTAGTTCATATACAGGAGTGAGATGAATGGTGGCGTCGATAGATCCCGAGGGATGGCGTCAGCATGGGGAAGCCTTGATCCAGCAGCGGATAGACAATGGCTGATGATGATTTCATTAAAACTTACACATTTCTATTTGAACACCGCACTTTTGTTACGTAAAAATTATTATCGATTTTGTTTTTAAAAACTAGATGAAATGGAGGATAAGATCTTAAGCGCGTTCCTGTTACTGGGCATGTGTGGCGTGTCGCGCCCGTCCCAGGTGAGAGGGAACCCCGAGCCGCAGGTGCTGTGGTTCAAGAATGGGCAGCCGCTGGCAGCGGGGGAACACTTCCGCGTGGAGCGAAGCTCCAGGGGCGCCTTCAGCCTGGAGGTTGTGGGTCTCGGGGAGGACGACTCCGGCAAGTACCTGTGCGAAGCGAGGAACGAGGCCGGGACGAGGCAGATCACGGTGGAGCTCAAAGTGGAAGGTGACGATCGGCGTTTGACGCGACGTGACGAGAACACTGCGGCTTGTTCGGGTTTGTGTGTTCTGTGTGGTGACGTGGGGAGTGGGAACGCCACGGTTAGAGAGCCGCGCGACGAACCCGACAACCCGAGGTCGATTCCCGCTCACCGCCAACACCAGTGACGATTCTCTGAACCGGTCCTGGGCCTCTGCTCGGTCAACTCAGCCTCATATGAGTACCTGGTGCGGTGTGTAAACATCGCCACTTAGGAGAAAAAGGCGGCTGGGTGCCGTGTTCGTCATGCACTCCCTCGTGTTCCTTGCCAGCCTTCATTGGTGCTCACTAACAGCACTTGCCTCAACAATCTGGTAAGGCTATACGGGGGATTTTTTTCTTTGTATAGGTTTGTGTGCGTGTGACGTGCATTTATTGAAATCCTCCAATTATCAAAACGAAATTAACGATTAATCGATTCATCATCGACGCTGCATATCTACTTTTGGATGTTTTTCTTCTTCCTCCAGGTTGTGATGCAGAAAAGAAATCCCTCGTGGCCAGTGCCAAGTTATCCAGGTACACGTACCTGATGCGTGGCATCATTACAGCGAGTGGTAAAAAAGGAAACTGACCAAAACGCATATTTCTATGTTGCAAATATAATTTTTTTGAAAGTGAGAAATGTATGACACTTTTTCCCAGAGGTGTCTTTGTTAATGTACGTCTTTGTTCTGTCATCCTGACAGATTTCCAATTCCACCGGTGGAGAGCAGGCCAAGTATATGGGGAGAAAGCCCTCCGAAGTTTGTCAACAAGCCCTCAAGGGCTGTAGTGCGAGAGGGACAGGGTGGAAAATTCAACTGCAAAATCACTGGACGACCACAGCCCCAAGTCACCTGGAGAAAGGTGTGCGGTCGTCTTAAATGCACATTGCTTATCCCTTGTTTCTTAAAGAATGATTCAGTAGTCATTCGTTACAGCCCTTTGAAAATCAACTGCTGGATGAAGGTGTCCCCATACTATTAATTCATGGAGGTTCTTTGAAAAAAACCTCACCACAGGTCTGCGTGATATTAGCCATGGCTTGGAATCAAACAGGTGGGCAGGTTCACAGGGCAACGTGCTAACCACTACTCCCCTGATCCCCCTCTCCCCTTATGCCTTGCTCATTTGATATGTAGAAATTATCCTTGCAAGGATTGTCATTGTGCAATTAGCATAGGGTAACTCCATTGCTTGCTCAAACATCAGCACAAAAACTGGCATGTCTATGATTGTGCCTAGGGAGACACAGAGCTGCACAATGATGGGCATTTCAAGGTTTACGAGAAGTCAAGTTTACACTTTCTGGAGGTCTTGGACGTGAAAGAGGAAGACTCGGGTGTGTACACGTGCACCATCACAAACTCAGCTGGGAAAGCAAGTGCATCGGCTGAACTGATCATTCAAATTTCTAATGGTAAGGTTTTATCCAACAATAACTGCTGATTTATACTACTCTTTACATGTATGTTGCCGTATTTCCAGTGCATGCACGGTGTTTCAGATGAAGGCTGGTACAGAGTGGGTTGAGTGTTTTCCGTCATGTTTACAGGTTTTCTCAGGGTTCTCAAATCACTCAAATGGTAATGGAAAAGCATCCCAATACAGGATCCCACCGAAAAAGAATATTGAAACTCAGTGAGGCTTTCATGGGATTATAATTGTCATTAGTATGTTTTAAAATATTTTTCTACTTTGAAATTTAAAGTGTGTATAATTCGTCATGATCTATAAACTACTGAACGATGGCCTCCCCACATCATCCCTGTATCTCATCACCTCACTCTTGCACATTAGCTCTTATCACTCCATCTCTCATTACTGAGAGACAGAGAGATGCACACGTGGATTCGAGAACACACATAGGTTAATGGTCCTATTAAAAGTGTTATGAAATATAAGTAGGCTCATGTAGGACACGTTGCTCGAACAGATAATGGCCAATGGTCAATAATTATAATGGGGTGGCAGCCAAAGAATGAAAAACCTTCAAAATTATGTTCACTGAGAAGATGGAACAATGGAATTATCTGGTGTCCAGACCCTAGGTGGATCATTATATTGTGGGATTGTGAGAGATGGTGGCAGCTTTGGGAGGCCTTCATCCAGCACTCGATTGACCATGGCTGGTGATGATGATGCTAAATAATTTTAGCCTCACTTCTTTGATGTCCACAGTTATTAGTCTGGTCGATGAGCTTTCCTTGATTTCATATTACGAAAGGCAGTGGTTACTTTTTCACATTGAACATAGGGAGCATCATCCTTATGTGTTCCATTGTAATTTGTTTTTCTGGACATATGATTATTCTATTTTGTTCGCTGTAGATATTTGCATAGTTTTCCTTAACTAGATTAATAATTGTGTTTCAGGAATTTCTTATGGATCCATCTTCTTGTCTCAAGGCTACAACCCATTGTTACTTGCCCATCATCAACTTCATTTGTAATGTTTTCATGCTCACATTGCTTGTTAAGACATTAAAAAATGTTTGTGTTTTGTTCTCAATTTTAGTTTGTCTTTTATTTATAATGGTTTTGCAGAGTTATGTGAATTATTTATTTTGTTTGGCATTTTCATAATGTATAATATATGATATCACACGTAATTAAATGCATATTGTAATACTTCATTATAGTGTATTGTTTGTAAAGCAGCTTTATATTGTTTTCAGAGCCTCCATCTGTTTTGAAACCTCATTTGAATGTTCAAAAATCATCCACTGAGTAAGTGCTGATTCTTTTATGGATTGTATTACAAGTGGGTTGCATGTTCGAATTTTTTTTTAATGAAAGCTGGGAAACACTCAAAATATTGTAGAAATTATTTGGCAATCTCTGTGCTTATACGTGTCAAACATGATATAGAATGATTTACAATTGCTCTTTCATATTTGTTTTGTAGTAGGTTGTGACATTTTTCACGTACATTAAGCGGAATACAGTTATATTCTTTGGATCTTTCGGTAAAGTCATGTAGATAGGTTCATAGAAAATATAAAAAATATATTTTAAAAACTCTGACGTTTAGATCGCAACACAAGCGTTCGTCATCAGGAAGAGTTGTTATACGCCAATACATGGCTACAAAAATGTTAAACACATGGTATATCTTGAATATATATTTTCTAGGTTAACTCTTCAGGTGACAAATAAGAAAGAAAGAAACACAGAAGAGGCAGAATCCAAGAAACAAACGATGAAAATTGTCACCCAAGAGGTGGCAGAGAGGAGAGAGGCAGCACCAATGGAAGCCAGCAAAAAGCCATCTGCTGCGATGGAAATGAAGATGACAAATGAGCAACTGTTAAGGAGTGCAGACAGAATTAAACCAGCGTCCAATGTGTTGCAGAAAACTGAGTTACCTGCACAGCCAGCTGAGAGGAAATCAGCCTTCCAGAAAATACAGATAAAGTCTCTGGCTGTGAAAGAGACAGAGACAAAAGCATCAATACCGGATGTGGTGAGGAGGAAAGAGAGCGGTGGAAATGAAGGTGTTGCTGCTGATCTGCCACAGGTCAACCCGGCAGGGCTATCAGGAGTAGATGTGAAGTCAACAGTGTCAAAGGAAATGGGTAGAGACGCAGTGGTGGCAGTAGCGACAGAGACAACGGAACCACCGCCTAAGGGGCTTGTTGAGAGAAACGAAGCAGTATCTAAGAAGTTGCCAAAACTTACGATGACACAGAAGGACGCTGAGAGAAAAGTGGCCGTGCATAAAGAGGTTGAACAGAAGCCACTTGAGAGAAAGAGGGTGGAGTCCCAATATGTCGCCCCAAAAGATGTGGCAAACATAAACGCCCCGGCAGAGATGAAGATGACAGGAATGGCGTTGAGGGAAGAGTCTAAGAAAGAAAACAGCATGAGCCCGGTGTTCACTCATCCTCCACAGTCGCGCGAGGTCACACAGGGTCATGAAGTCGCATTCAGCTGCAGAGGCGAGCCACATTTGCTTACCCTTCTCGCACATGGCATGTTTACTTTATTGCAGTAGCGTGCAAGCTTTATTTGTTTTTGATAAATACCGTAATTGTGTTTTCTTTGGATATTGCTTTTCTTATTATCTGTGCAATAATTAGCCAATAGTTGAATTCATGTTTTAGAAGAGCCGAATGGCTCACAGGGCTATACCAAATAAATTGAACTATGAACTATGAGAAACACTTCCACTTTTAGGGAAGTGTGGTCAGTCCACTTTTAAAAGTGCATCGTTGAAGCTGTGTATTCTCTAACCCCATGCAGTGTCAGGAATCCCAAAGCCAGCTGTAGAGTGGTCAAAGGATGGCGTCGTAATAAAAACAAGCGAGAGGTGGTCGGTCGAGGAGAACCAAGGTGGCCATCAGTTGATCATCTTCGATGTGCAGAAATACGATGGAGGCGCCTTTGCCTGCGCAGCTAAAAACAGTGACGGGAAGGCAACAACGGCCACCTTCACACTCATTGTCAAAGGTGAGACGCACACACGTGCATTTCTTAAATAATAAAACAAATATTTCTAAATCCATCTTTCAAAGTCAATAAATTATCAGTGAATCTGTTGTCATGTAAAAAATACAGATCGGGTTTCAGGAAAGGCTTCGTCGTTAATGCATTTAGTGGTTGTTTTTGTGACTGTATTTTATACAGACAGGTTTACGATTACTTAAAACCGTGACTCTTCGTTGGCTGGTGTGACAGACGCAGACCAGGCGCCCGGTTTCTCCGCCCCGTTGGTGGCATGTACTGTTGAAGAGCAACAGGAATTCACTCTGGAGTGCCACTTGTTGGGGAAGCCAGAACCTTCGGTGACTTGGTTAAAAGATGGTCAGACCTTACTGCAGATCCAAACAACACATTAAATTGCTCCTTTCATCAAAAGCAATTCACATTCACCGTATGAACATAACAGGGGTTGTTGTTGCTTTTGCCATTGTTGCAGACAAGCCTGTCAACAGTGCAGTAATGTCTTGCCGTGATGGATACTGCACTCTTTATGTCGGAGCTGCTGGCCTGGACGACGGGGGAGTGTATACGTGTATAGCTGAGAACCACCTTGGAAAGGCCTATTGTAGTGCCACAGTGACAGTCCGAGGTAATGAACCCGACATATTCAAATGCATACGCAGCTTGTACTGATCCACGTGATTCAATCGACTTCCATTAGGCGTCTAGTCTTGTAGATGATTGTTGTTAATAGGATTGTGCTTTGTGAGGCTAAAAAAATACATGCATCCAGTTGGTTGCATTCTGGGCTGGGATTAACCATAAATGGAAGCTGATTAGTACAGTAACCGGCGTATCGAGGCCAAGACACAAGCTGCAAACAGCACTGACTTTGGCAGGTTGAATAGATTCAGCCATTAAAGGATGTGAGTTTTCCACGTCACGAGGTTGTTTTTTTCGTAAACAAAAATAGCCCTGGTGTAAATGTTTGGGAAAGAACAGCTCTCGTTAATGGCCTGCAGTTTTGTGGTCCACGTGAGTGACAATGAGGAAAAATCCACTCGTTTGCCATGCCTGCAACGGAAAGGTAAGACAGTTGACCATTAATTTGATGCTTGGCATAACCCATACGTTTGTACTCGCCAAAATGTAACAGTGCCCAAATATGCATTTTGGGCAATAAAGTTTGAGTTTGTATCAAATGTGAATGAAAGGACATTAGCTGTTATGCTACTTTTGGAAAATGAATATTTTACACGGAAAATGTTACAATTAATATTTGTGGATGCGTATAATAACGTTAAGTATAAACTGGAATAGATTGCGTTGGCAATAGCCTTTAACAGACTGTTGGGACAAGTGCTGTTTGCAAGCACCTATGAAGACTGGTACACGAGGGGGGTGGGTGGCCAGCACCACGCCCGACTGCCTTTGTCTCCCTAGTGGCGATGTTTACACACCCCTGCCAACCCACCACGCATCTACACACGCAAACAAATCCATTTGTTTAATGTCCACGGTGCCCTTGTAGAGCCACGGAGGAGGACGAGCCGCAGGAACGAGGAAAAGCCGGCGGTCAAGCAGTCGCCTCCCGTGTTTGTGAAGGGACTTTGTGACCTGCAGGTGATGGACGGCAGCGAGGTCCATCTCACTGTCAAAGTTGCAGGTACAATTCCAAAGCCTCGTTCACCACGACACAAACAACAACAAAGACAACGATTCCCTCCCCCCTCGTATAGCCTGGACAGACTGTTGGGACAATTGCTGTTCGAGGTCGCCTTTATTTCCCTGGTGACGATGTTTATACACCGCACCAGGTACTCATTTGAGGCTGAGTCGACCTCGAGAAGGCCCAGGACTGGTTAAAATATTCGCTACTGATGTTGGCCGTGAGCGTCAATTGAAGTCGGGTCACTGGGTTCATAGCGGAGCGCGGTTATCGCTGCACTACCGCTCCCCCAGTTCACCACAACACACGCTCAACGTGCACAGAAATAAAACATAGACATTGTACAATTCTTTTAAATGCACATCCTACCATGTAATCCTCCTTTATGCAAGTGCGGTCTTCCAGGATAGTCCGGGTTTCTGGCACACATTCTCTCAAACCTTCACCAACGCACTCCTGTCAACATCTTCATGGGTTGCGGATGCCCGCTGGAGTGCATATTAATGGAGTTGAAGATGCCCTCAGTGACTTGTGACGGACCTTTGAGAGACGTTATGCTCAACACACGGCCCAACGGGTGTGCTGCGAAAAAACCGACGTGCTAATAATTCCTACTGGATGTCCTGACACGAGGAGGTTTCATTATGTATTTCCGTACGTGTCATTTCAGCAATTCCTCCAGCAGAAATAGTTTGGCTGCACAATGGAAATGAAATCAAGGAGTCGGAGGACTTTGTGTTGGAAAGCAAGGATGACGAACACACCCTGCACATTCAGGAGGTCTTTCCAGAGGACACAGGCTGCTACACGTGTGAAGCCTGGAACGAGGCTGGGCAGGCTCAAAGCCAGGCCCTGCTCACCGTGCAGGGTATGAATCCGAGCACCCATCAAGCACATATTACCTTCCAGTAAGAAATCATCCAGATGGGTCAGACGTGGGGACACCTGCAAGCCATTCAAATTAGTTGTAAAATGTATATCACCAAAATGTAAGTGTGAATGATGAACTTCCTGTGAACTGTAAGGGGTAATGTGGATCTCAACCATTTCACTTATTCGTGCAGGATAGTATCACTATCATGTTTTTAGTTATAGCTCAGCTGGTCATGAGTCCTCGCTCTCCCTTTGCCAACCCACACTGACCAGCGTGATGAAGTATGGTCAAACGACCCTTTTGAGGAACATGGCATGGGGAGGCCTGCATCCAGCAGCAGTTTGGCAAAGAGCTATTATTAATAGTGCAGCTTTCACCAAAATGTGATCATGCTGATAAGGTTGCTGCTGTCGGAAGGAAGGCATTAATCATCGATATTTAAATTACTTTTGGAGATTGTTAATGATTCCATGTTTTATCAGAGCCATGAGGTTGCTACGAACTCTGAACACAACGTTTTAAATCAACAAATATTTAGCTATGACACGAATATGCCAGGCTGTACGTTTGGGTAAAGCGCAGTGATGCACGTCTGATTTTTTTATGGTTCATCCGGGCCCTACAAAAACGACAACAACAACAACAACAACGCAAAAGCAACACTTACTTGGTGAGAAATACGATGGCTGTTCATTGTAATAAATGGTCATGTACAGCCCTCTGTCAATCCACTGTCGGATGAAGGCCTCCATACACCTCGTCTTCCTTCACCACCTTGGTGAAGGGGAATGCCCAGGACCAGTTTAGATATCACTCAGCAAGTGATGTGAGCTGTTTTCAGGAATTGAAGTCGAATCTTTGGGTTTGTATGGCTGCCCAGGAGCCACTGCGCATGCGTTCACACTCACAATAAAAGACACCACTCACAACAACAACAAAAACAGCTGAAATGTCTACTTTGTTATTTTATTATGTACACACACACAAACACGAGGCAAACTAAACGAGTTGAGAGTTATATACAAATTTAAAAAAAGACCTCGTGCTAAATTCAACTCAGACTACGGTAACACGATATGAAGAAATAACTGTGGCTAATAGAAAATTAATGGAAGCCAGTGCATAATTTAGGCACTTTATTCTCAAAATGTCAAAATTGCCACTGACGCTGTAGTTACGCAATTTAATAACCAGTGAATAAGACCAAATCACTTTCGGATACACCCAAACTTGGCAGCGCTGTGAAGCTAAGCAGGTTTGTGCTGTGAGATGGTTCAGCGATGGCAGCCTGGAGTGTAACTCTCTCATACGGTGATAGTTGCATATATTGAAGCATTATTCCCTCGTGTTTATGGGTCTTCTGTGAGTACTTTGGTGTCCTTCCACTTGCGAAATACTCATTCGTGACATTGGCCAAACATTCCAATTATTCCAGGACCCTTTTAAAGATTCTCAAGTTTCAGCAAGGCTTTACTTGGTGTATGATTTGCATTACGACGGTAACTTTGTGTGGGTGAAGATAATTTGGACAAGATGCAGGTTTGCAATTGCGTGCTCATGCCCCCAACTGGTGGAAGGACCTCCTCTAGCAGGAGATCCAATTTAAAACTGACAACCTCTAAATTGTACCAGTGTGCTAACCATTACACTACAGCAGCTTTCAGTGTTTACATATATGTGTATGGGGCTAGTCGCTAAAGCAAATAGTGCCTCTTTCTTTAAAACTACTATAACATCAATGCACAGAATCCAGAATATTTATAATGTGTATGTATATCTTTTCAATATTCTATTTGTATCGTATTAACATTTACACACCATTCATGTATTTGCTTGTGTTCTACGCGCAGCAGTTTAGAATGTTCCTGTGGAATGCATATACTGCAATACTTGGCTCGCGGTATTTTCAACACGTGTATAACGGTGCAGTTAACATCGATATTGGTTTAAAGGAAGACGGCCACATACATTGTATAAATGTCACATTCTTTGGTGCCAACAACTGGAAAATGATATTCAGCAGTGTTATGAATAGGGTCCCGTACCGTTAATCCAATTAAGGTCACGATCCCCACAAAACATAAAAAATAAATACGCTTTGGTCCTGTTTATAACATCTCACTAATCTGATCTAACCTGCCTTTGACCCCCATGCATCACCGGCTGTCGTGAACCCTCCGCCGCCGCTGCTGTTGCTGCTGCACTGTTTACAGAGCCCCAGGATGGCGTGCAGCCCTGGTTCATCAGCAAGCCCCGGCCGGCCGAGGCGGCGCCGGGGCAGAGCGCTCTGCTGTCGTGCGCCGTCGCCGGCGATCCTTTCCCCTCCGTCTCCTGGCACAGGGACGGGCGACTGTTGTCGACGGGAGGCGACACCGTTCTGCAGCGGCATGGCGACGTCTTCTCCGTGGTCATGCACAACGTGTCCCCCGAGCACACGGGACTCTACGAAGTCAGGATCCAGTACGAGTCCCTCTCCCTCGTGTGTGACCCCGCTCCACGAGGCGCCGTTTGTAAACGCGCACCTCCGATTAGCACGGTTGGCGACGTACGGTGCGGTTTTTCTTTCGTCTCTGACGGACTTAGGTCAAAATTGATCTCAATTGTGTCCGCTCACGTGTTACCACAAAAGTTAATTAATTTATGAACTCGAAGGGCAAATCCTCAAAATCTAAGATAGTGATGTGCCTCCACATTTCTTTGCCGTCTTGCAAATACTTATACAAAATCTGTCTTTTGCGCATAATGCTCCTCATACACTTTTACCAAATTATCCAAAATGCACCTGATCCAGTCAGACCTCGGAGGCTAATCGGTGCCTTGCCTGGACAGTGATTTGATGGGAAACCATCAATCGTAACAACAGGTGTAGTAGGTATTGTGAACAACATGGGGCAGTCCAGCAAAACCCATTTATTGTGTGATCCCTCCACATGTTAATCAACCCGCACTGACCAACGTGGTGAAATATGGTCAAATAACCCTTACCGCCTGTTTAGCATGTGGAGGCCCTTATCCAACTGAATTGACAAACGGGCTGTGCATGCTCCTCCTACATGGATTGACATTGTCGCAGTATTACAGCGAGAAATAATAATGCGCATGTCAGCTTTCAGCTCTGGTCTAATGTTTACACATGGGGATTTGTCTTTCATTCGGACTGATGTATTTATGAACACTTGATATTGCCACTGTCAAATTCATTTAATATTCAGTGATTGTTTAATTTTAAATTAATCTTACAGTGTCTTACGTCTTGCTATTATGTGTTATTTTATAGTTATTTCGTTTTAATCATTGTTGCTGTCATTTTATCAGTTGTGTTTGTACAGGTACAGGTCTTTTAAAAAAAAAGATACGTTCGGCTTGTTAGTTAAGGATGATAGCAATATTATTACTTTACAATTAAAAAAGTGAGTCAAGTAAAAATCAAATGGGCTCCATGCTCATGGGCCATGCTGAGCTCCTTCAGACTTTAGAGACAATGGCCAGTGGTGCAATTTACAAGTTGCAATGATGAAGCAGATTCAAAATACTAAATATATTCCATTGGCTTGCAACTCTTTTTGTAGTGGGAAACTATACTAAGGAAGATTGAACAGCACATGCATGTGCTTTTACACATTTTCCAAATGTAAAGAAATACAAATAATAATGTTGAGCATTTTGGCAATGTGCCGTGTTGGAACGTGGAGGTTGTTTGACCATACTTCACCAACTTCTGCCACTGATGTTCGCCGTGACCAGGAATCAAAATCAGGTCGCTGGGTTCATACCGCAGTGTGGTAACAACTGCACCACTCTTCCACCCCTCATCTAATTTATGCAGTGATTAATGGTCAAGGAGAGGTTTTGTATTATTATTCGTTCCCGTTTGGGGACATCAACTGATCAGGCTGCTCAGTGAGAAGCGATATTTTATTGTTCTCTGCTAATGGACATTGTAATACATTTCTGAAAGGTAAAACAATTCCTGAAATGTACATGAGCTGTTATACCTGTGGACTCTTTTTGATCAGTTTGACATTTCTTTACATAAGTGGTGCTCTTCTCGCAACACAAAAATAAATCTTGCTGCAACGATGAAACATGTGTTTATTAATAGCATAATTGATCGTCTTAGTATTCTACTTGGGAATTCTGAGTTTGGACTCATTAATTTACAAGGTCAATTTAGAGCAATCAGCTGCAATAAATGGCAACTGTACACTGCCTCCTACACCCTATGAAATATTTCAAGAATTTGGCCACCTATGGACGGAGTTTGTAAAAATATCATCAGATTTGGAAAACATGCAGGGATTGCCATAAAAATCGGCGTTTAGTGCGTGAGCATACTGTTGGTGGCCCAAGGCGACCAATTCACTAGTGAGATTAAATTACCTGCAATGTCTTCGCCCGTAATGCCCCAATTAAAGTTATTATCTGTCCTGTTTTTATGGAAAATATTTGAAACAAAAACAGTGCCCTTCCGAGCTTTATTTAGCTACGGGACAAATACACCACCACCAGTTTTCCCCTCTATACTTGATGGAAAGATAAACTCTGGACATTCTCTAGCGCTGAAAACGAAGCCCCTGAGGGTAACTGTAAAGTTGGTTCTACATATAATCACATGTAGCTCAGGGTCCTGGGGCGGTGCAACTCTCCCCTGCCGATGACGCAGGTTTGGGCAGAGAGAATGCGAGAGCGGGGCACTTTCCTCTTTCCCACAGTTTTGTGGAGGGCACACAAGCCAACTGGGAGATCGCTTCATGGATCACTATCCATTGAGAGCTAATAAGCTGTCAAGACTTATTTTGAGATTGTCATTCTGAGTTAGTTCCACTTTCCGCTAAATTGCTGAAACCTGCATACAGTTAAAACCTGTGTTTGTACATGCTCGGGTAGGTCATTTTATTTTGAAATAAATGTAGAGTTGAATGATAAATTGCGATATTAATTTACATGTGTTTTTTGCTCTTCACAGAAACACTGTTGGCTCGTCAAACTGCACAGTATCTCTGGTGGTAAAGGAGGGTGGAGGCCGTGGCTCCGTACACCAAAGGTGGTAAGTGTGATATCAATTAAAAGTAATGCTTGATGCTGACAAAAATTCAAACACACTTGAGACGTTGGCTTTCATGCGGCATGGTTACATTTCAAAAAGGGCTCTTAGCAGTCACCGGTAACCGATGCAAATTCAAGTTCGCTGCCTCTTTCCCAGTGTCTGGCTTTATTCATTTAAACAAACGTCACTTGGGAGCGCAGCCAGCTGGCTCCAGTTCACAGGCCAGCAATTCAACTGTGTGATCAAAACTCTTTTTGCCTTGTAGGGGAAGAGACTCGGAGAGCCTTTGCTCCAGCACAAACGTTAGGCAGAGCTGCAGCCCGAGTGGAGAAAACCCTGAACAGCAGTGGGAATGCAAGGGATCCGAGCCCGATCAGACAGACTTCCGAGGTGTTCTGCGCCGTAAGGTCCAAACAAAAGAGCGCTTGGAGGAGGTACAGAAACAGCAGGAGGCGGAGCAGAAAGACTTCCGTAGCGTCCTCAGTGGTGCGGCCAAGAAATCGTGCTCTACCAAGCACTCATCCGAAGAAGAGAGTCAACAAAGAGAGGCTGAGCAGCTGGACTTCCGTGGAAACCTTTCGCGACGAGTAAAGACAAAATCCCTGTGTGAAGAAGAGATAAAGGAACGCGAGGCTGAACAAGTGGATTTCCGAGCAACATTGGCCTGCAAGAAAGCCCCATCACGTAAGCCACCACCTCCGGCGCCAAAACCCAAACAACCAAGTTTTCGCCGGATACACCTACAGGATTGCGGTGATCCACCCGAGCAAGAGCCAGAGCAGTGTTCGTCGGAGACGTCTCACCCTGGTTGCTTCTCTGGCTGTGGGAGCAGCAGCCTCTGCTCCGAATCGGATCCACAGCACTGCCCCACGGAGTGCGACACGCAGGACGGCCCCCGCTGCCAGAGTCGCCCGGCCTCGGCTCGCTGCTTGACGGAGTCTGCAGGCGGCGGAGGAGGAGGGATGGCATCTTCTAAGGGCTGTACGAAGGGTTCCAACGGGTGCTGCGAGACCGTGTCCCCCGGTGGGATCTCCCGGGGGGGTGGCGGCGGCAGTGGCGGCAGTGGCGGCGACGAGCAGGCGCTGCCCGTGTTCACGGAGCCGCTGCGTGTCACGCGGGTGCTGGACGGCGAGCGCCTCCAGCTGCAGTGCCGCGTGTCGGGGCGGCCTCCCCTCACCGACACGTGGAGCGTCGATGGAAAAGTCCTGAAACCCTCCAAGTACATCATGATCACTCAGAAAGGTACGGCTCGCCATACGCCTTGCTGTGCGTTTGTCTCCCGAAGCCTTGCTGTGTGTTCTGGATGTTCACAAAGTGTATGTGCTTATTTGTAATTACGAGGCTCGTGAATGCCAATGCCACATGTTAAACAACAATTGTACGGGTTTGTTTTTGTAGGTGACCTTTGCCTTTTGACGATTGACGAGGTTCTTCCTGAGGATGAGGGAAAGTACACATGCTCAGTCGAAAACCGAGCTGGAAAAGCACAGACATCGGCCATGGTCTACATAGATGGTAAAACTGTAACTATTCGTGATCGTTGTTCAACCAGAGGCCACTCGGGGATGTAATTACTTGTTCTACTGAATATGGAATGGACAAACGAAGATATATATACACTCTGGTCGATGTCCACTTGAGAAAGTGATTTGTTGAATCATGTCTGTGGCTCCTATTTTAGATATAACTTACCTTTTAAGTGATGTCCAAAGTATGAGTGATTTTTGTTATTTACATTTTTAAAATATATTTAATGTATACGTACATGGAAGTTGTCATTTATTTCAAATGGTTTTCATATCCAGTTAAATGCAAACTGTTTCCTTTGTATATTAATTTATTTCATAAAATTAGCTAAAATGTTTCCCTTAAATAATTATATAATGTTTCTTTATTTCATTGTACAGATCCAGCATCTTTAGTCAAGCCAAAAATATCAAAACTAAAAACCAACGAACCCAAAAGTCAAGTCAGTGCAGTCGAAAATGATGGTAAGTGAAATCGTTGCATCACTCATTTGAATAAATATAGACATATATTTTACGACATTATTCCTTTTGTAACTTAATTCATAATTTTACATTGCAAATGCTTTATCGGTTTCCCATTTCTCTGGAGTGTTTTGTCGAATGGAGAGCCACAACATTAAACTGTTTATAAAGGCAGACTGCAATTTGCAGTGATGAAAGGCAGGCATGTTATTTAATTGCTGACAGATAAATTACTCCACAGAGCCCTCCACTTCCGAGGTGTTTGTGCAGCTCCTTCTGAGCCGTCAGGACATACCACGCGATCCTGGTAGTTAGCGGCAGAGGTTTGCGGAAGCAGGACCACCAAGCTGGCCACAAACATTAGTATTGTGTCACATTGTTATTGTTGTGCAAAGGCACTTTCACAGGCCCCTCTATGCACAAGAGCTTCGATTAAATTGTGTATCTGGATTGATTTGTTTTAGATTTCAGTTTAAAACTAAAACATGAATCTACAATGTTCCAAGCTTACATTGCAATGTTTTCTTTAATGTTCATCAGGACCAGTCATTCCAAAAAAGAAACCCACTCCAAAGATTTCTGCTAAACCAGGTATTGTATATGTTCTATTTATTCGAAGAGACAGCAAGCCTTATTCATGCATACTCTAAATTATGAATCATACAAGGCTGTTATGTGCATGTGTAATGCTGTTTCAATCTGTGTAGATGCAACGCACTCTACAGCGTGTGCACCCCAGATCACACGCTTCCCTGAGGATATGAAGGTTCGAGCTGGCGAAATGGTGGATTTAATGTGCTCCTTTGAAGGCACGCCGCCCATCAAGGCTTCTTGGCTGAGGTTCAAAAAGGAGGTGAGGTCTTCAACGGATGTTAAAACTCCGTAAAATAATAAGTGGTGGATGTATACTCTGTACCCGGCCAGAATACTGCACCTGGCCAGATATTGCCGTGGCTGAACACTTTCCTCATGGTCCTCTGTTTGTGAGCACCACAGCCTTGTGGCCATAAAATGAGTACTACTTTGTGGGAAATCAACAATGGTTGCCCTATATTCTTGGTTCTTTCGGTAAAGTCACGTAGAAGGGAAACAATAAAATAATAAAAATATAAAACAAGAAAATGTTCTTGCAGCGGTTTTCACACCTGATGATGATTGCATTGTGTTGCAGTCGAAACGTCGTGAGAATTTTATTGTTTTATATTTTTATTATTTTATTGTTTCCCTTCTACGTGACTTTACCGAAAGAACCAAGAATATGAATCCCTGCAATCAGGAAATCTTTAAATCAAAAATGGTTGCCCTCTCAATTAAACAGCCCCTCACCATAGGAATGTGAATTTTTCCACAACTGACTGCACCACCAAGTAATCTGAACACTTCTCCATCCTTCTCTGAGCATTTTAAATGTTTATTCAACATGATTAACATTTCGCCAAACCTCCTATGACCAACGTGGTGAAGTGTGATCGGTCAAACCCATGTGCTCGCGGGGAAGCCCTCATCCTTTGGTGGATTTCATATTTTTTTTAAATTAAACTTTTATTGCTTTACAGCCACTCGTAGAAGTGTGACCCTCTCCGTACGTAGCCTTTTAAAAAAAAAAAAAGGGAAAACCTTCCGCGGTGCTGGCTGACGTGATGCAATCCAACGTTTTTGCACGCCAGATTGCTGCGGGTGGGCGGCTTAAGATTGAGACGAAAGATGCAAGCAGCAGCAGGCTCACCATTTCCTCGTCGCAGCACAACGACTGCGGGTGCTACACGCTGGTGCTGGAGAACAAGCACGGGAGCACCCAGGCGCTCGTCGGTGTCACTATCGTCGGTAGGAAGTGGTGCACAGCGGCCGTACGTCACCCGGTGGTGGCACTGGGTGTACGCGAGCTTAGGGAAAGTTCAGGACCCCCCCCACCCCGAGTGGTTCAAGAAGCCCAGATTCATATAAAAAAAAATAGGGGTGCAAGCAAAGATTAGCTCAAAAGTAATTTCGTAGGAACAATGAAAAGCTTGTGCTTCTAAAAACAGTTTCAACTGATGTTAATTATAATTGGTCTATTCACGTAATAATTTCACGCAACTAGAATATCGGAATAGGTTTTACCCTTTTAACTGGCACAAAAACTGACACCTTTATTCAAGGCATCATGTTTGCAATAACCACAACACAAGCAGTCAAAATGCAAACAAAAAAGACAACTCTGATAATAATATGCACTGTCCTTGAATTTGATTGGTCCACACCCGAGATGACTTTCCTTAGAGCCTTGTCTCCACTGGTGTTGGACCAGAAGACGCCAAAAGGCGTACAACTCAAAAACAGCGCACTATCAGAGTATTGATGGCTCGGGGTGAGCATTAACATTATGAGATCTCCTTGCCAGTAACAAGATATAGGAATAGGTTTTACCCTTTTAACTGGCACAAAAACTGACACCTTTATTCAAGGCATCATGTTTGCAAAAACCACAACACAAGCAGTCAAAATGCAAAGAAAAAAGACAACTCTGATAATAATAATAATAATATGCACTGTCCCAAGGAAAAAAAGACAACTCTGATAATAATAATAATATGCACTGTCCCAAAGACAGTGCATATTATTATCAGAGTTGTCTTTTTTGTTTGCATTTTGACTGCTTGTGTTGTGGTTATTGCAAACATGATGCCTTGAATAAAGGTGTCAGTTTTTGTGCCAGTTAAAAGGGTAAAACTTATTCCTATATCTTGTTACTGGCAAAGGAGGTCTCATAATGTAAACTATAATATCATTAAGTTACATAGTGTTTGTAGTCACGTGATGCGTCCCAAGGTCATTTGTACTTAGGTCAGCAATGGGCTAGCACTGCCACCACACCACAAACGCCTCCGCGTGTGCATTGCATGAACGCGCGTGTTTGTTGACGAAAGGTGTGCTTGTAACAATATAATTGTTGGCAGCTGTATTTTAGATTGATGCCATAGTTATAGAATTTAATACAACAAACGCAAATTATTCTTGTTATTCCACTTCTTGTGTGTGCCACCGTTTACACTTGTACAGACATAAACTGGTATTTCTTCTAAAAATAATCTGTGTCCATAACCCGTGAGCTTTTAGTGCAAGAATGTAGATCACTTTGTTAACCGAAGGCCATATTAGGAAAAGCATGACATGAAAAAAAATATATATTTCCCTTAGTAGGCTGTGAAAGCTCCTGCTCATGCCCCTGCTCATGAAATATAATGGACATGTAAACATTTGCAGATGCTCCAGTGGTTTTGTGCATATAATTTACACCTTGTAACAAACTGACAGCAACAGTGAGTGTCATTCTTTGTAGCCACGATAGCAATTGCACAAACACCGACTTTTGCACGTTCATATCATATATATGAAGAGCCAAATCAAATTTTGGTGCAGCTTATGAGGTGAGTGTTTTTGAACCTTTAAATGTAGCTTTTACATGTAATTATACTAAAAGCAGCGACTACATACGAGAAACCAAAGCTCTCCACTCCGTGCGTCATGGGCCATATATGGCTCTGCTCTCAGCATCGCTCTGAAGTGCACTGCTGCAGTAAGTGATGCACGTTAGTGGTAATGTGCTGTAAATGAAGGACATGGTTTACTGCTGGCCCTCAATAATTTGTGTGTGAAGTACAGTGGCATGGTTCACGTTTATCAAAAGATCAAAGACCCAAACCTCTAACCATCCAGGGAAATGTTAAAGTAACAAATGTGTTTCATTTATCTGGGAAGGTCCCACTGAATCTAAACACCTCATTTCAGCGGGGCCGTAAATTTGGCCGTTTGACCAATTGATACACATGTATTTCGCATGACGGAGGGAGCCAGAGTACCCAGAGAAAAGTTTGCACATCAATGGGCTAACGCTCAAACGTCTGAGCAGACAAATTGACACCCCTTTTCCTTTTAGCGGCCACCTCAGATTTCAGCCAGGCACACGACAAAATCTTTGGAATCCACCAATCCCATCTCGACAGCAGCAGCTGGATTACACCACCACCGAAATTCAGCTCACGCAGGGGTTGACAATCTGCGGATCTTTAAGAACTGCATGGCGACGTTATTTATTAAGGACCGTCTCGTATTCACAAGCATTGCGGCTCTGAAATATTTAGTTATTTTTACCGAATTCGAAAATAATGGCTCTTCTTGTTATTTTGGTTGCCGATCCCTGAGCTAACGTAACCTTCCCGTCGCTGCTGCAGATAAACCGGAGCCTCCCGCGGGCCAACCGTGCGCCTCGGACATCAGGGAGAGCTCACTGACGCTCTCGTGGTATGGCCCCACGTACGACGGGGGCAGTCTCGTGCAGTCCTACACGGTGGAGGTGCAGGGCGAAGGGGAGAGCCGGTGGAAGGAGTTGACCTCCACGTGCCACAGCACCTCATACAACGTGCAGGGCCTCGACCCGCAGAAGCAATACAAGTTCCGCGTGCGCGCCGCCAACATCTACGGCATCAGCGAGCCCAGCCAGGAGTCACCGCTCGTCTCACCGGGCATCGTCAATGGTGCTCCCCATTTTCTAACCTCATCGCCAAAGGAATGTTTATTTGAGTAACAATTTAAGCCGTTACGATTTAGCAGTGATTATACGTTTTCCAAATGTTGCCTTTTTTTGTTCTCCCTCGTGAGCTTATACGTACATTTTATATAACCAAAGGTCATACGCTAATAGGATGTTTCCATAGCATAATGGTTAACACACTGGACTTGCAATCCAGAGGTCGCCGGTTTAATCTCTAGGCGCGGCAGTTGAAACTATAGGCAAGCTTCTTAAACCATCCTGCCTCCGTCCACCCAGCTGTATATATGGGTATGCCACAGTTAATCAGTTGGTAGGTCACGTGGTAGGGCACAATGTGTTTACTCCCACCTCTTCCAAGATGTCTACCCAGCATGGGAGAGTAGGCCAAAATATTCACTAGCGGAGGCCCTTCCACCATCAGTGCTGTGAGCAAGCAATTGCAGGGATGCACCTTTACCGATACAGAATAATTTAAGTTTTTGTGCTGAATCTTCTACATTGTAAAAAAAAATGTTTGTCTAAACCAGGCCTCCATTTAAAAATTGTCACTGTGCCAATGGGATCACAGGAGAGTTTAAATACAGATACAGGTGGATTGATGCATTAAAACACTTCAATACAATAATATATTTTGGTGTGGTTGTGTTTTTATAGCAGTTAAAGCAGAAGAGGAGTTTTCAGATGATGGTTCGTATGAACACTTTTTTTGGCCTAATGCATCAGTTGTTCTTTACATACATGATTGATATAATGCAATAATTTATACTATAATGAGTTATTCTTTTCCTAGATGAAAAGGAAAATGAAACTCGTGATTACGGACACGTTTCTATCAATCCAAACAAGAAATTAAACGATCTCTATGATGTCAAAGAACGCCTCGGGACGTAAGTTTTATTCATTTTATTTTTATATGGAACAACGTTTTTACTTATTCACAAACACTTATAACCATCGCATTATTTTGGTATATGCAGTATAACTTGATTGTGCCATATGCTTAGTAATGGGCATTAATGCACAGTGGGACGCAATTGTAAACTTTTAACAGGGGACGGTTTGGACAAGTTTTCAAACTGGTGGAAAAGAAAAGTGGGAAAACCTTTGCAGGAAAGTTTATAAAGGCCCTCACAGCAAAGGACAAGGAAAGTATTCATCAAGAAATTGCTCTTATGAACTCGTTGCATCATCCCAAGCTGGTCCAGTGTGTTGATGCATTCGAGTCAAAAACAGATATTATAATGGTCTTGGAACTGTAAGTACCAGTATTTCATCTCCATATACCTTTATTGCACAATTATTGAAATGCGTAAACAATGAATAACGTTGACATGGCTTGCGTGGCCGCTGTAAAAGGTAATTGTCGTTTTGTTGGCATTGGACGTGCAATCAGAATTTCTGGAGGGGAGCTTTTTGAGCGCATCATCGACGAGGACTTTGAGCTGACAGAGCGAGAGTGCATCAAGTACATGCGGCAGATCGTGGAGGGGGTGCAGTTCATGCATCGGCAGGGCATCGTGCATCTGGACCTCAAGCCAGAAAACATCATGTGCCTCAACCAGACTGGCAATCGCATTAAAATCATCGACTTCGGGCTGGCTCGCAAACTGGGTAACCACACTCCAGCCGGGTTTCTTATGGCGCACAAGACACGTGTTGTCATATATATGTCATATATATGACAAATATACGCTCTTTATTGTGGTTGTGCTGTGGAACTGAAGACCCCTGCCAGCGGAATGTAGAATTTCCACAAATGAATCAAGGCTTGAACACTTCCCCATGCTCGTTTGAATGCTTTTGAATGTTTGAGCATGGAGAGACGTTTAAATTAGACCATGCATGTGAGCATGTGTATTTGTATTGGTATTTAAACAACGCTTATGACCAAATCACCCTGAGTGCACCTCATCCTTGTCAAATCTCTCAGCCTGGATAGTGCTCGGATGGGCGACCACCGTGCACCTCAGGTTGTTATAACGCTAAGGATCTATATTGTGGGCAGTAGAGCGCAGTGCAGCAAAATCCACTGTTGCACTGTACTTCTATGCTCCCAAGTCTATGCTGCCCTCCTTCACCAATCCACACTGACCAGCATGGACGTACAGTATGGTCAAATAAACCCCCGCAACCCGCATGATGTGGAGAGGCCCTCATCCAGCAGTGGAGCAGACAAAAGAGCTGTACATGTACTGATACTATGCATACTACACTTTGCAATGTACAAACGCAACATGCCGGTGAATCTTTGTTGTACCTCTTCCTCAAAACTTGTATAATGTTCATCATCTACATTTTAAAACGCACACTGTCGGTGCCATTTTTCTAACGTACGTTCGTTACTTTTTTCTAATTTCAAAGAAAATGTCAAGAATCTGAAGGTCATGTTTGGAACACCAGAATTTGTGGCACCTGAGGTCATAAACTACGAGCCCATCGGATATGCTACTGACATGTGGAGCGTGGGTGTCATCTGTTACATACTGTAAGTCCGTTTGAGACGTTAATGATTGATTTTGCTCAGTTAGATTTAAAGAGACGCAAAAGTTGTGCTCACAACTCCCATTATGCCTTGCATTGCATACGTGTCATGTGACCACCACATTGCGTATACAATACACTCGGCCTTGTTTCCGAGCACGCCTTTGTTGTTAAATATAACTGTTTCCGGTCTGCATACATTTTCCACATTGTGATGGGTTTTATCCTCATATTTTACGGAACATATTTAACACATTCCTGGTTCGTTCAGCACTGCACACCTCTCCCTGCACGAGTTTATTCAGTGGTTACCGTCTTCACCAAACGTTCACTGTTGCCTCGTTTGCAGCGTAAGTGGTTTGTCCCCATTGATGGGTGACAATGACAACGAAACCCTGGCAAACGTCACATCGGCCACGTGGGATTTTGACGACGAGGCCTTCGATGAAATATCTGAAGATTCCAAAGACTTCATCAGTCACCTTCTACAGAAAAACATGAAGTAAGGTATTTCTTTGTGCGATTTCATTTGTACGTCTTTACTTTTTGCCTTCCAATTGCTACAAACGTCGTGGTTGTTTTTTTTGCATGTCTGTAAAGTGTTTTTGTACAAATCTAAAATTAAATAGAGAAACAATGAGGATATTATGCAAAAAAATGTTTAATGAAAATTAAATAGCTTTTGAAAATGAACGAGACCTAAAAATCACGAATATGTGACCGGGCAGTACAGTAAAAGTCAATAACCTAAGCAAATTAATGCATTTAACATTGTGCTGCCTTAACACCGAATCACCCAGAATGTCATCGATCTCATCGGATCTCCGAAGCTGAGCAGGGTTGATTCTAGACGGTGCCTGGATGGGCGACTACCGTGCATGCCAGGTTGACGTAGGTGGTGCTACAGAACTGTACGACGTGTTGGTCAGGAGAGGATAGTACGGTAAAATGTATCGTTGTACTGTATCGATATGCTCCCACGTCTACGACGCTCACCACTTCCATCAACCCACACTGACCAGCGTGGTGAAGTATGGTCACGCAGATTTACTGGCCCAGAAGTAGATTGACACAAAATTATCTGTGCATGTACATGTCGTCTTGTGTTAGCCGCCCCGGAATCTACAGCACTTTGCATGCGATTGTACTCGTAGTGTTTTAAGATTCCTGAACTGATTCTTTTGCCAGGGAGCGTCTGACTTGCACACAATGTGTGGAGCATCCCTGGCTGCAGATGGACACAGAGCACATGGCAGCCAAGAAGCTCTCAAAGGAGAGGATGAAGCGCTATCTCACCAAAAGGAAGTGGCAGGTAAAACGCGGTCCAGCAGCGCCACGGTTTAAATTATAGCACTGCAAACACCGCAAGGGGAAACCCCAACAAGTGTATTATTGCTCCCGTCCTCCGAGTGTTCAATCCAAGACGCATCCTTAAAGATGTGAAGTATGAGAATTAAATCAAACCTTACTAAGGTAACCATACTAGGGTAGTGTTTGTTACTTAGGTAAGGTTTGTTAATTAGTGATGGCGGGTTTATATTTACGCGATTTAACCCAAACACCTCTATTATGGAAAAAACATACGTGTTTTATTTTTTTGTTTTCATGAAGCCATTGTTATAGCTAACGTTAGACATCGATTTTTCATATGTACATTACAACGTTGCGTATCTGGCTCACTGAGGATTGAGGTATAGTCGGATATATGAAATGGTCGGATGTGTGAACATACATTTTAGAAATTACAGTTCCACCATCATGCAATGCATTTTTAGCATTTAAACACACTCGTAAGTAAAAAAAAAATATTTCTGAATCGGTGAGATGTTTATATTTTGGTCTGACAGAAAACTGGTAATGCTGTACGTGCACTTGGGAGACTTTCATCTATGGCGATGCTGGGGATTGGTGGTAAACGAACTTCTGGTGTGTCTCCTCCCAGCCCAAAATCTCCACCTGCCATTAACGATGTATCTGGTAAGACGAGATCAAGCTTTGTCACTTATGTTTGCACAAACATGGTTAAATGCTCAGAAGGCCACTTGGGGTAGGGTATGATCAAAAAGCCTACCTCATATAATACCGGTACTGTCTTTTCAATTAAAGAAGGACATCTGAGACGTGGGTTTTATTAAAGGAACAACATTTAACAACAGTCCACATTGCCATTGTAAACAAATAAGGACTACCTAAACACGTTTGCGAAAAGCTGAGCGATGTCTATTCATACATCTCGGTTTGAGCTGATAATGGATTCATGTGATTGCACACTTGATTTTAACCATTGTAAAATAACTGAAGGGGTTTGCTTTCCTATTGTGTCCCCCAAGTGACACCAGATTCACCAACAGTGAATCCACTCAGCCGCGTTGCGGAAGAAAAATCGAAAACGAAACCATACTTCAGCAAGAAAATGAAAGATGCCAAAATGGTGCCAGGCTCGTCAGCTAGGTTTGAGTGCAAGATTGAAGGTCATTTTAATCTTATTGTTTTTACTTGGTGTTGTGTGAAACATCGTGCACTTATTGTAAATGAATCACACGTACAAAATAGACACTGGGGAAATAAACTTGTCGGAATTCATCACATTCCCAGGAAAAGTTTCAGTATAACGTTTTGAAATGACGTGTAACTTATCATATATACGTGTAACCGTCATCATTCTTGCTAGATTGACTGTTATGCTGTTACAATGTTTTTTTAATTCAAATGGACACGTTTGTTTTTGGGTTTGGGATAGGTAGCAAACCTTTAGTCCATCGTACTCAACACCTCCTTTTTCCTCTGCCAGGTTACCCAGACCCCGAGGTGATCTGGTTCCGGAACGGGCAGCCTATCAAGGAGTCGCGTCAGCTCCAGATCGAGTACGACGAGGAAGGCAACTGTTCCCTCATCATAACGGATGGTTCGGAGCTGAACGGCTCCACCTTCATTTGCAAAGCCATCAATGGCCTTGGTGAGGCCACGTGCTCTGCGCGTCTTCTGGCCAATAAATAACAAAATGGGCGGAGCAACGAGCAATAGAAATAGTAACACTGAAATAATGGTTGAAAAACTACAATTTGAGTTATTTTATCCTCTCACCACGAACACGCTGAGAAAAAAATTGTTAATATATTTACAGGTAGTTTAAATATATTTCTGTTAAGGTATGCAAGGCCATTATTTAAAGCTTCATGAAGAATGTACACAAATTATATGTTGGTAATGTTTTGAGTTAATTGCGTAATTGCTTTTTTTTTAAATAGTAATCAAGCGATATTTCCCGGTGTAATGCGTTTGTATCTAATGTTTAGACCACTAAAAGATGGAGATTTGCAGGTGTTTTTTCATCCGTATTGGCTTGTGGTTTCTACAACATGAAAAAGTATAAAGCAGATTAATTATATTGCTAAAATATTGACTTTATTTTGCAACATGTTTATGAGAACAACTAAATTAGACTGTAGATAATGTTCCAAAATGGAGTTTGTCGTTTTAATGTTATTTTTACATTTACATTGTTTGCATCTTCATAAAGAAGTGTCTGAAAAAATTCAAATACGATGTGGAGATAATTGGGTATATTATTTTAAGAATATTGTGTACACAATGCTACTAAAAGCCATCCACATTTAATTGTGGTCCAAAATTCAAACGAAAAAAAAACTTTTGTATCTTCTATATTTGGCTCCTAAACATGGTTACAAAAATCATCTATATTTGTACAATATCTCTTCAGTATTCTTTTCTGTAATGCACACATAAATGAACTAATGCGGAAATAAAATAATTCTCGTTCTATAAATTGTATCATTGAGCATCAACTTGTAAAACATGTATGCATTCCTCTGTTTAATAAATGCACCGTGTACTTATAATATTTGTTGTTTTACTCAGAAGATGGATTCCGATATGTGATGAAGGGGGTATGAGTTTAGGACAATTATTAAAGACTAGAGGACCCCTTGATTATATATGCATGTACTGCTATGTTTCCATCGAGAGCTGAAGTGCAAAGAGAAATCTGTCATGCGTAATTCTGCTGAAAGTGATACTAGGACGGCTGAAAGAGATTTGCTAAGCGAGTGTGTTGGTGAAGAGCAAATGCGATTTTGCGGTTTTGGTAAACGTGTTTTGCTGTTGGGAAATCATTTTCATCGCAGATTCCCTAGTGGGCTGTGAGGCTGGCCCACTTGGCGAAGTCGCTCGGGCTGATGCTGTGTGACGTGTTACGTGCGTCCGTGAGCGAAATATTCCCACAACTCGATAGCACCGTCATAGAAACATTTTCATTTGCATACATTTGCATAAATTATTTTCTTTTTTACTTCATTATAATAGTAGTGATAGTTCTAGGACTTACATTCTTGATGGAAATGTTTGCTTGATGCTACAGAACATTTCTATGGTAAGAAATAATGGAATTTTTGCAAAAAGTCAAATTTAGCACGCTGTTTTAGGTAAGGACAGGGTTGTTTAAATATGCCCTCAAGCTACAGTATGTACTTTTTTTAAACAGTTGTGCCTTGCAATAGTTTGATTTGAAAAACATAAATCCACAAATGTGTTTAGTTAACATCATGTTACAAATAAAACTACTTTTAGCATCATTGTAACTGGGACTTTACAGTGTATCTTTTTGCATGAAAAGGGTACTTCAAAAATCTTATTTCCTGCGTGATATTATAATTTATGGTGTACATCTGTTTAATTTTCATGTAAAACCAGAACAAAAACACATTCAACGATTTTTTTTAAGTGAAACTTATCAAAAATGTCCAGTTACCAGTAATTGGCGGTAATGTGTATTGATGTTTGTCATCGAAAATAGCCATTTATTAGAAGCACAAAGCTTCAGTTTAATTGATACATATTAACAGCTTATACCAAATGGTTACATATTTTATACTAACAGATATTGTCAATAAATGCAAGTTTTACTCACAATATCCTGCAATAAAGTACACTATTTGACTCGCACCTGTTGTTGCATGTGATGCTTGATGTGTTTACAGTTTCTGATGAGTAGTCAAAATTAATATATGCAATATTCCATCAGATAATTTGTTTTCGCTACTTTATAATGGATTAGCACTTAACAATAAAACATGCGAATGAATGTCTTGTGATGCTGGCTTTGTTGTTGTGAATGCACTTTGGGTTTATTGAATAAAATTGGCCAGCTATAGATAATATAGTGTATTATCTAAATGTGTTCATTTGTGATTGACCAAATTTATGAATTTTGCCATCACTTATCTGTTTAAATCAAATGCCCAATGGCAGGCCGTTGGTACAAACTTTCTCCATTCTCTCTGAACCTGATCTTTCTTTATCATTTCACCGTAATACCCCCCTTCTTTTAATTTAAGCAAAAATCATATTTTTCCATCTCTTGGCCTCTTTCACAATACCCTTCCAGAAATTTATTTATCAAGCTTCCATCGTTACGATTGCCCAATGTATATATTTAGGGAAAAAATTGCATTCTTATTTAACTTCTCTCCTCCTTAACCTCCCCAAGAACACCTTCAATTACTCTTTTTGTCCAGTTGATTTCTCCACTCTCAAGTTTGAATGTTCTATACAGTCTTAATTTCAGCAGTCCTGCCAGTTGGACATCAGTTTTGTCAGGTGAGCAAACTTCCCATGGTTGCACTATGCCAAGCATTGCGTACACACAAATCAATGCAACTGAACCTTCTTCCACGGCATAGTAATGCACTGAGAGAGAAAGCTATTTGGTTGTCATGCATTTTTGACCAATCACAGGGACATTTCTCTGGGTACCCCTTATATAGCACTGTAAATTATTCAGCTGGGGTTCATCGTAATAATTAGTGAAATTTGAAAATGTCCAGCCGCAGCATAATATTAATTGCCACGTTCTAGTTGCTGTCAGATTAGGATCGTGATTTATTGCTCCGTATTTAATGTTTATTTGTCCTCATCCATCATCTGATCCCATCTTGTTATACCACATGTGAAGATGAGAACCAACATCTGCATGCACGGAGTTTTGGTGCAATTAACACGCACACCAGTATTCGTTTAATGCCTTAATGAGAAAATATAATCTGGAATAGATTGCAACAAAAATCCATAATTATAAGAGGTAGCGATGCGAGATAACTGTACTGTAAACATCCTCCAGCCAAATCTGGCATTTTTTTGGTCATTTTGGGACACCCACTCTGTGCGGAGTGCAGCACGCATAAACATCGATACAACGGATGTTACTTATTTACTTTCGGCTGCAGATTAAACAAAAGTTGGTGGCCATTATAGACAAAACCTGCTTATTTTTTGTCCATATAAATCCGTAACTTGACAGTTCGCTGACGTAGAAGTTGCCATTGACGTGGACAAGGGTGCGCTTTAGCAATTCCCATACATAGATGTGGGGCCATACAGCTTCGGCACGCTGCCTTCTTCAGCATACAAACAATGGAATACGCATCAAGGCTTTAGTGAAGATCGCAACATTTTTGCCATATTTTAAGAGGCCAATTGTTTTATTTTTTTGCTCAGCCTTATAAAGGTAGTTTTGTAACAATTGACGTATGCCACAACATAGTTTACTCATAAATGCTTAACTCAATCTCATATCTCTTTTTCAAGAAGGTCCTGCTTTTGGATGTTTGGCCACGTTTTCTTTTGCTGAATTTTTCTGTGTTGAGTGCCCAGATTAAAAATTAGAGAAGAAGATTGGGAAAACATTAAAACATAATAAACCTGTTTGCTGTACTGTCTCCGACAATACTGCACCTCTATGCCCATCGGATGCGAGTCTTGTTCAGGCTCAATCACCGCATGACCCTCCAACCCACAGTGATTGTGCAATCTGCATATCTCACTTGTGTGGAGTCACACAGGCTTGTGAATGTAACGCCACATGAAGTGACCTGCAACGTTAAACAGAATTATGGGTCGCATTCAGTTGCATACAAGGTAAGCAGGAAGTGTGGTACACAACACAGCCAAGGATTTTCAGAATAACCGAGATGGACGCGCGGAATGGATGCAAAAGGTCAACGACGGGCCCCGTTAACCCCCTTGATTTAGACGTCAGATGCTTTCTCGTTTCTCATGACAAATTGGGCGTCTGTCCAAATAAGGGCCAGTCGACATACGTAGATAGGGACTTTTCTGCAAGCAAGACCATGTTTGGGATTTGGTTTACATGGCCCAAAACTGCAGCAGCGGACATGCAGTCACATCTGCTTGGTTTTAATTCGAGTCTATGCGAATCGGTCTGGAGTACACTATACATAACCGGTACGATATATACTCGGGTTATTGCAATTTGGCGATACTGCGATATATCGTACAATGCAAGATCCACCAAAAATCGTATCGTCCGTTGTGCAACATATCATTAGATCGTGATGCTCGTTGCTCATTAATTGGTTCCCTTAAGTTTAAAATTCCTAACACGATATCCAGAATATAACAAACTCAAAACAGAAATACAAATTTGTTAATAAATATATATCATACATTATACGAATACTTTATAATATTAATCGGACTAATTGACGGCTTGGTGATTATATGACATCACGACCTTCGGGAGTTTCATATTCAATTTACCTTCATCGTGTGACTGACAGCATGTGCGTTGTACGCCTTATAGAATGAAAGCAGGACACAAGATCAACGCGGGGATGTTAAGATACAATTATTTCGTCCTCGGAAACTGATGTCGCGATAATCGTCGTTTCGTGACCCTCAATATCGTATCGTGAAAATTATATCGAGGCAAACTCTACTTTACATGTACTGTATACGTTATCTAACATATAACATACTACGGTGCACGAATAGTGGATGGGATGCTCCTTCTCATCCTTCCCACGCTGTTCGCAATGTCTAACCCCGTCAATCTCTGCTGCCTACAGAGAAACGGATCCACTCTTATCCTCTCTGTCCCCGTGAATTGAGTTGCTTTTTAGCCATAGCGGCATTTGTTCGTGTGATTTAACATGTCCTTCTCTCCGTGGGTGCTGCACTTTGTAGATTTCGACTCGATATCAACAATCTATAGCCCACGGTACACTTGTGGCTGTAGTATCCAACACGTTACCATGCACAACAGAAGATTGAAGAAGATTGTGCATGGTACCAGGTTGTTGTGCATGGGAACAGTTTGTTGTTGTACGTGGTAACGGATTGGCAAAGTACGTACGGGGCTACGTGACGGGCAGCAGGAGGGTAGTACAAACATAGTGTTGTATGGTATGTCTATGCTCCCACGTCTATGCTCCCTGCCTTCAACCCGCACTGATCAGCGTGGTGAAGTATGGTCATATAACCTCCACCGAGCAGCGCAGCGTGGGGAGGCTGTCATCCAGCAAATGGACTGACAAAGGGCTGGATATGCTTTCGCGTGGTGTAATGTAACATCCACATGTCCTTACCAATATCCTTGCACATTCATATCCCCACCCCCTTCAATTAGGATAGCTGTCAAACATCCTGTAAGTCCCGCAGTGTGTATAAGCTAGAGACGCTAAAATACCCACGATGATGATTAACGAGGTAGTGTTACCATATATTCTTGTGTAATAGCTGCGGGCAAAGTGAAGTTTTAACCTCAGGAGTAAAACAATTAATCACGCGATGGGAGTCTTCTAAAAAAACACATTCTATGAAAGACTGCCGGTAAAAGTGAAAAAAGCACGTTTATATTACATTATATAAAAATGTTCATCGAAACTTTTGATCTTGCTTCTAAAATTGGCACCAATCCAACCTCAACAACAACAACAAACATCAGAGGATACTCAAAAATAAATTACACTTTTCGTATTCCGCCAGCGGAATTTACTGAAAGTGAAAATCCGCGCGGGGGCCTCTGTGATGCCATGTTCGAAACTTTTATCCCTATATAGGCATGCCTTGTTGTGATCCATCTGCACGGGGTTCCCGTTTGCAGAGAAAGCCGGCATTCTCGCGAGCTGTACAGCCCCGCGGTGTCAGGGCGAGACACAGAGAAGGAGGAGGCATCCCCACCCAGACAAGCAGGGCAGCGCAGTCAGTCAAAAGCCCAAGGCGACCACCGAAACTTCTTCTCGACGGCACGCGTGCCCCCACACCGACCATGGCTTTTCGTGCTTTAAATCAGACGAAGCCCAAAGTGGAGCCGAGCCCACAGGTAGACTTCAGAGCGGTGCTAAACAAGAAGAAGACCCCGCCGGCCGCGGGGGCATCTCCCGACAACCACGTGAAAGCGAAAGAAACCCCCGAGCCGAAGAAACTCTCTGGCAACATCTTCCTGCAGCCGAAGCAGAGCCCCCAAGGCGAGCAGCCCAAGCCGCTGGACGCCTCCAAAACCGCGAAAGGCCACTTTGCTCCCAAGGTCAAGGAGGCTCCGGCTGTCGCCACCTCTGCGCCCAAGATCTCGCAGGCTCTGTCCGACGCCGAGGTGCTCGAGGGCGAGAAGGTTGTGCTTCAGTGCCGGGTTGTGGGTCAGCCGGCGCCCAAAATCTCCTGGACCGTGAACGGAAAGGTCGTCCGCCCCTCCAAGGACGTCGCAATCTCGCAGGAAGGTGCGCCGTGCCCTGTGCGTGAGTGAGCGTGTGTGTGTTGACGCAACTCGTGCCTTAGTAATAGAGTTTAAGTGCGCATATAAGCCAGACCTGGGAAGCTTAGCAGGATTGAGCATGGATAGTGCTTGGATTGGTGACCACCATGCGCAAAAATAGTATAACAGGCGTTGCTTTGGGGCTATAGTGGAAACGTCAATAATGCAGAGAAACACACAATTGTGTAGGATCGCTGCATAAAAATCACGGTTTTTTTCTGCACTGGCCCCAACCTTCGCCAACCCGCATTTACCAGCGTGGCGGAGTATCTATCGTTCGACAACTCTCACTGCCCGCACGGCGCATAGATATAGACGGAGAAGGGAGAGTGAGAGAGGCGATGATGGCACGTGGTTGAGTCGCGTCTGTTCGTCGATCCGTTCGACGTTGTCGACGCAGGAGACGCGTGCACGCTGACGGTGGCGAAGGCTGGGAAGGACGTCGCCGGCCAGTACGTCTGCTTGGCTGAGAACTCTGCGGGGAAAACATCCTGCAAAGCCAACCTCGGCGTGGTCAAGAAAGGTACGTGTGCAGAGGACACCCACCAGGCTCGCGTAACGGTGGACAGCTGATGCTCATTAGATTCGACTTTTTGGTATGCTTCATCACCCCCCACACACACCCCAACCGCAGTGCACATTTGCCAGATTCATTTGGAAATATCATGCGTGCATGTTATGCGGCTTGCCTTGCAACGAATGCAGAATGATTATTAATTCGGATATTTGTAGGGGGTTTTCGCTGTTTAAATGCAGGAAGAAATGTAGAGAGGTAAAGGTGCATCCCAGCGATGTCTTGCTCACGCTCGTGTCGGCATACAGGCCCCCGGCACAAGCAAGGACTTAAGAGATTTCCTCTAGCGTTGAATGTCATACTCGAGTGTTATCAGTTTAAATGTCAGCAAAGGCAATGTCCACTGACTCAAACATTTAAGGTGCGTTTCAGCTTATGTAACGCAAGCGGCGAGGTGCCATCCATCCCTGTGAGTGGGTGGCCTGCAGGGCAGCCCCTGCAGGCCACCCAGTACAGTCAATAATGAGCGTGTCTTTACTCACAACCTTCCTGGCACAGCAGTGGCGTTTCAGCTGTCATCAGTAAATTACACACACCACTCTTTTATGCTCGCTCTGGTTTGTGTAAATAAATACTGTGTAAACATGATGGTGAGCACATGTCCTTGTATGAAGAGTATACAAAGGTATGCTAAATGAAATGGTCCAATTATCCTTGTTACTACTATGATTATATTATTCTTTTCAGAAGAAAAGAAAGAAGAACCCCCTGTTAAGTCTGATAATGGGGCTCAGCAAATAAAGCCACGTTTTACCAAGACTCTCCGTGATGTGGAGGTGGTGGAGGGAAGTGCAGCAAAGTTTGAGTGCAAAGTTGAAGGTGAAGTATAATTAAAT